AGGTCATTTTAATTCTCCATGGGTTAGTTTTCCATCCAGAGATGGAAATCTCAGCCTTAGTTTCCAAAAGAGCCTAATGCTTCTGGCTCCCCAGTTAGAGTATCCTGGCCAGTATCCAGGTATAGCCCAAAATGGGAAATAAAATAACAAGAGCTGGTCAGAAGACTGTCTTTTGTTCCAACTTGTTTTATTTTTTAAAGAAAAGCAAAGCTGTGCTAAGCTGGGACACAAAAGCTAACAATCAGAACATTTTTGTGGGAGGGAAAAGCCTGAAAAAATTCTGCTTTGGAAGGATGTGGACGCTTTTTTCAGTTTGTTTCCTGGGCTGCCTATCTCCTCTGGCTGCCTGCTATGCAGGCAGGGTCCCACAGGCCTGAAAGCCTGCTCTGCAGAAAGAGATGTCTAGAGACCATGAGGGAGAAATTCTGAAGCCTGCTGACTACCAGGAAGAGAGACTGACCAAGGGACTGCTGCTCTCTCCTTCACTGGGCTGATATGGACACCCTGGGTAGCAGATACCCAGCAAACCAGCAACGTACTTTCCTGATGACCAAGAGTCTACTGCCACCAGGAAAGCCAGCATTTGGGATGAGATCTGCAGAGACAGCCAGCTGAGAGGGCCAGGAACCCTCACTCTGCATGAGTACATAACTCAACACACTTGAGTTATGTACTGTTCAGATACATATGCACCTATTCCCTGTGACCACTTGGAAACCTTAACCCACCTCCAGCTCACCAGAAACAAGCAGAAGCTTTGAAGATAATCAAAGAGAAGGTTGAACTGGCAGAATAGTTGGCTCAAGGAGGTCTTTTCCAAAAAACTCTAATTTCTCATTTGAGATTAATTTCACAAGGAAGCTCTTGATCTCCCCTCTAACATATACACTAAGACTGAGTGATAGGCTTAGCATGTGTACTTTAAAGGGAAAAATGAGCTTTCATTAGTTTCAGGGAGCATCACTGTGCCAGATCCCACTAGGTGTTCCATGGCCAAGAACCTACCACTGAAAGCAGACGTGGGTGGTGGGTGTGAAAGGAGTTTGAAGCAGGGATCCACAACTGCCTGTGCTCTTTTGCTAGTGGAGGTGCCATGGTTTGATGAGTTAAAAAGCTGGGGTGAACAGTTTTCTTCATAAGGAACCTGATATGTTCTGGAAGAGTTATCACACAGCTGGTAGCAGGAAAGTTTCAATAAAACAGCTGTTTGCTGAATAAAAAAGAGATGACTTTGTGTCTAGTCATGCAGTTCCTGTTTAAATTAGATCAGCTGCACCTGGACATTTCAAGATTTAAGGTGATTTTTTTCCTGATGCTATTAACAGCTCAAATGTAGCCCAAGATAAAAATGAAAACTTCTGAATCATTAGATTTGCTACCTGAAAAGAAATGGTCATTTATAAACTATCAAGCAATGGAGATACATCTAGCAGCACCTGACACCCTTCAGCTATACTTTATACTAGGCAACAAGGGCTCTAATCCCCTGTATTTCTTGTTTAAGTCTTTTATATCTATTTTTATACTTTTGTTTCTTTTTTTTTTCCTTTCAAAGGTCAAAGATGAGTATATTCAACAAATGTATTTTTAGCTTAGGTTTCTGATCACATTCCTGCAGGACAAAGGAATTGCAGATCTGCTTGCAAATATTATGTTACTTCTTTTAATTGTCCTTAAGCAATTTTGGATTAGGCTTTCAGTATCTACCTGCAGGGAATTCATGCTGAGCCATAAAAGCCTGTTACAGCAGTGACTGGTGAGGCACTAAAAATACCTTAGTCTGAAATATCTTATTTCAGCTCTTTATCCGGCACCAAGAAAACTGTGCTGCATAATATCTTACTGGAGAAGGATGATTTCCAGAGGACAAACACAATACCTCTGGAAGTGATAGAAGGAGAAAAAAAAGAGTGTGACAAGCTAAGCACTGGATGTTCCCTTCCATAAAAATGGAAAATATTCACAATGCAACTCTATATAGCTAAGAGCAGCTACCCTTGAAAAGGTAGCCCCAGTTAAACACTCTTGTTCACATACTTGGCCTGCACTGGACACTGTTCTCTTATTCCTTTCTCTAATTCAACTTCATATTTCCATTTACTCCCTCTATGCTTGATGTGTCCGTAATTTCTCAGACATTATTTTTAATGATTTCTCACCTGTTCTCTCATCTTCTGATCCTCTCTCCTACTAATGTGCTGATACATCAGTGATTAATTAAGCTTCAGTCTTGGTTCATTTGTCCTCTCCCATCATAAGACCTTCCTTTCTAACTCTGATACCTGTTTCTCTTACTTCTGCTCCCATCCTGCAGACTGAACTATCTTCCTTAATTTCGTGAATTTCACTTAATGTATTTTATTTTGGACGTCTTCTATCTATCTCTATTTCTCTAATTTAGCTGATATCTGAGCCAGCATCAACAGTTCAATGTTTTTTTACTTCTTAGACCTTCTCACAAGCAGTCCTGTTGCCTGAAACACGACTGGGCGTTTCTGACTCTTCCTTGCCTATCACAATCCAGGGAGTTCTCTCTCATGATAAAGAATTGTTAAGTGTTTATTTTGGTCCACCATTTACTAATTCTCTATGTCTGTGTATGAGTATTGATGCAACATATGGTCATACTGTCACCATTAGAAATAAATCATGTCTCTAGGCCTTAGCCTTTTCAGAATTACGATGTCATAATCAGCTCAAGGTACGGATACAAATACAACTCAGGATCACTGTTCTCAATTTTTGACATGAAATTCAGAGTGTTTCCATCAGACTGATTTAGAGATACAGAGTGCATATCTAAATAAAAGTATTTAGAGATTTTTAAAGAGAAAAAACTTATCCCTGTCTATAATTTTCAGTTCAGATCTCAAACTTGGGTTGGGAATAAGATTAAGTGTGAGACTATCTACCTTTTCTTGCAATTATTCCTTCCAGAAGTCAAGTAGTGGATATAAAGTACCGGGAGCCATGGAAGTCAATAATTCTGATAACAGAAGATTTTTACCTGTCATTACATGATGTGACATGACTGAAACCTGAGTTTTTAGCTAATCAGAAATTATTCTCCTCATTTTGTCCCACAGTCTGGTGTTCCTGCACTTCAGAGGCAATACATTATGCAGTAGACTAAACCCAAAATAATGCAGCAGGCAAGGTAAGCTAGCAGCAGCAAAAAGGATGTCTGATGCATTGACCGTAATAATTTTTTAGAAAAACTGAGGTTTACACAGCCTAAATGGTGAGTGCTGAGGGGCTGTTGCTCCAGCACATCAGGCCTTCAACTGAGAAAAGATCAGGTTCCATAATAGACACATTATTATTTATATTATTAATAATCTTCATTTGTTTGGGTATTTATGGTCAGGAAAGTGTTTGGGAGATTTGGCAGCCCGATGTTTGCCTGTTTTGTTGCATTTCCATGGGGCTCAAGGCCTGAGGTACTGCAGACATCTAATTACCTTCTCTAGGTGACCTTGATCTCCGGGGGTCCCTTCCCACCTCAACAATTCTGTGATTCTGTGATTCTGGTTGCTCCCTCTTGGTCAGTCCTATGGCAGAGGGGCAGCTGTCCCCAAAACCTTTCCTAGTTCTCATTCTGATTAACACCCAGCTGCACCCTGGAACTCCTAGTTCCAGGGAAGAGTAATCCCTGAGCATCCCTAAGCATCTGCCACATTTCGCTAGTAAAGATACACTCATATACTGAAGAGAGACATTAAACAACTTGTCCTTTGGATAATGCAGAAGGCCCCTGTAGAGGGTGATTGACCCTGGAGTGAAATAAAGAATAACAAATATAAGGTGCAGGGTTTTTTAAATGCTCCAATATGCATGAACTGGAAGCTATTAAAAATCATAAGAAAGGAAATGCCAGAGCCTCGCACAAGATCTACACAGAGTTCAGACTGTACAAGCTAAACATTGTGCAACACCACTAGCATGTTCAGTATATTTTTTTTGAATGAAGTATAAATAGAGATAGTTAATTTATTAAGTGGAGTCTTCCTTCTCTGTTATGGTTATATGGAAACATCTTGTTTTCTTTTTAAATAGATAAATAAATTACAGACCACCCCATCTCCTGTTTGCAACCATCCTGTCCTTTTGCAAGAAGCAGCCCCTGAATGAAAATACAGTACATTGAGCAACTCTAAGTAAGGTGTCTTTAACACAATAAACGTGCTATATGGTTTAGCATTAGCATGGGGAAATAGTGGAAGCTCTGGTAACAGTAAGTTTTACATTATTAATGAAAGAGTTGAGTAAAAAGCAGGGCCTTAGGATCCATTGTTTCTACTTATAGGGTAACAACCCCAGTACCATTTATTTTTAATGCTGCTTCTAACTGAAACAAGTGGGAAATGATGCTCAGAACAGGGGTTAATGAACTTGTTCTTCTAAACTTTTTGTCCCAGGGTGCTGGGTTATACATCTGTCTTTGTGGGTTAAAACCAGTTTTCTCTGTATCATTTTATTTATTGTAATCTTTTCAGTAAATTGGAACTCTGACTTGTAATCTCTTTTGAGTTGGGTTCACTTCTCCTGCCAGTTTACTTTTAAAGCCACACAATCTCCTTCTTAAATACTCCTAAATTTTTAGTCTGACACATAGGAACACAGTTACAGCAGGTTTGAAAGTTAGCAGGACCCAGAGCAGCAAGGGATTTGGCAGAGTTCTGCTAAACCAAGTGACAATGATCATGTTATTATTTGGTGTCATCATTAAATAATAGACATCGTCAGCAGGCCACACAATTTCCTAAAAATGACCAATTTTTCCTCAGCAATCTGCTCCATGTATCTAATATGGAGAAATCTACAGCTATCCATGTAAGGAATCTCACATGTAGCAGTTTTCATCAAAAAAATATGTTTCTCTGAACACCTATATTGTGAGGGGTTCAGTCTGACCCCGATGACATACCTCTTCCAGCACATGTACTTACAACTGACGCTCAAGAGAGTCATTGGACACTTAGTTCTGTTTAACAGTCACATTAGGGCTCTTGTCATTCATCCTCAGGAAATTCCTGCAAGCCTGTTTGGCTCATCTCAAGCTTTGCTAATTGATCAGAAACTAATGATCTAAGAAGGGGTTCCTAAACACCACAAGAATGGTGAGTGAACAGATGTGATACCAAAATGGGACAGTAAATGTAAAGGTCAAAGGCCTTGAGTGAAGGTTGCTGAACTGTTGTGTAAATGAATAATTAGTCCTTGATCAGAAGCTGACCAAGGTCAAATCTCAAGCCACAGCATTCAAAAGAGACCAAGAATTTCCAAGGTATTTACTGGGCTGGGAAAACTGGGCATATATGTTCAAGGGTCAATGGGTTCCTTCTGCTCACTGAGCTCTGTTTTCAGGAATACTCTCAAAAATCACCTTGTTAGGCCTGCCAAGTGGTGCCAAGCCATGGTCACTGTGGTAAATCGTTCCTGCAGAGACACACATCTAACTACCTGAGTCCTGAAAGGTAGAGTTCCTGAAAGGACTCAGGAACTCTGAATTAAGGTGCACCCTTTGCACGATTCCTGAAGGAGGAAGATTTGTCCAAAATCTGAGCCACATTTGGTCAAGAGACTGAAATGTTGAAAAAATATTACTGCCAGTTCAGGGTTTGAGCAAATACTTCTCATTCAGAAACCATCTTATCACATCCTTTGTACAATTCAGGAAGCTACCTTGAGAATTACAATTTACTTTGGTAAAAATCTCCAGCAGCTACTGTCAAGTCTAAGCTGGCAAGTAACCTACCTTTTGTTATAGATGTTTTGTTCACCATCACATACTATATCCATTGCTTCATTCTTGCAAACCTTAACTGCTTGCAGTGAAGACTTTCAGTGAAAGGCCTTGTCAGGAACTGACTTTAACTGGATTGGTCAATGTTACCACTAGTGTCTGGCCACTGTGCAAGCACGGCTAGCTCAAAAGATCACAAGTGAACACTTATCAAGCACATGAAGTACTGTCAGTTTAAGATAATCCACAAAAATCCATGCTAACCTTTGTGGGGTTTTGCTGATTATTTGGTTTGGTTTACATATATCTGATGGAGCTCCATCTAACCAGTGATCAATGACTTTCCTGAAAAGGCAGTAAAAGACAAACAAGACAATGACTGTTGACCTCGCATTGTTGGCAAATTATGCTACACTTCTCATACTGGTTTCAGCTCACTACTTGATGATCCTTATGGGTCCCTTCCAACTCAGAATATTCTGTGAAATCTGTAGGCAATTAAAGATGCAGATCCTTAACTGCTGAGTAAACTAATGAGGAGATATACTGTAAGGCACACTGCATCAAATTACTGTAAACTACTATTCTGGAAGAAGAGAGGAGAAGCCGAGAAGACCTATCCTGGTACTTACACACCTTACCTGTACAGGTTGTTTCAGAAAAAAGGAGGGATATACTGCAGGAACCCTGTTTTAAAAATCAGAGAGCTGAAAATGCAAGACTAGAGTTAATAGTGTGTCAAGGAATCATTTTTGTCCTGGTTAAATAAGACAGCCTGGAAAAATCATGTTGGGATGAAGTTTCCTCAAGGATGATGTGCTCTAGATCTTGTGACTCTATCACAAAAAAAAAAAAGAGATTTCTTTCAACTTGAGGAATCATAGAATCAGCTGGGTTGGAAGGGACCTCCGAGATCATCAAGTCCAACCCTTGATCCACTACTGTTGCAGTTGCTAGACCATGGCACTAAGTCCCACATCTAGTCTCTTAAAAACCTCCAGGGCCGGAGAATCCACCACTTCCCTGGGCAGCCCATTCCAATGTCTGATTACCCTCTCTGTAAAGAATTTCTTTCTAACCTAAACCTCCCCTGGCACAACTTGAGATCATGGCTTCTTGTCTTGCTGATAGTTGCCTGGGAAAAGAGACCAACCCCCACCTGGCTACAACCTCCTTTCAGGAAGTTATAGAGAGTGATGAGGTCTCCCCTGAGCCTCTTCTTCTCCAGGCTGAACAAGCCCATCTCCCTCAGCCTCTCCTCATAGGACTTGTGCTTGAGTCCCTTCACCAGCCTAGTTGCTCTTCTCTGGACCTGCTCCAGCACCTCAATATCCTTCCTGAACTGAGGGGCCCAGAACTGGACAGAGTACTCGAGGTGTGGCCTCACCAGCACTGAGTACAGGGGAAGAATCACTTCCTTGGACCTGTTGGCCACGCTGTTCCTGATCCAGGCCAGGATGCCATTGGCCTTCTTGGCCACCTGGGCACACTGCTGGCTCATGTTCAGCTTCCTGTCAATCCAAACTCCCAGGTCCCTCTGTGTCTGGCTGCTCTCCAGACACTCTGTCCCCAGCCTGTAGCACTGCATGGGGTTGTTGTGGCCAAAGTGCAGGACCCGGCACTTGGCCTTGTTGAACCTCATCCTGTTTGAGTCAGCCCAACTCTCCAATCTATCCAGGTCCCTCTGCAGAGCCCTCCTGCCTTCCAGATGATCAACATTCCCCCCCAGCTTAGTGTCATCTGCAAATTTGCTGATGATGGACTCAATCCCCTCATCTAAATCATCAATTAATGGTCTTATAACAAACCATCTGTTTTCTTTCTCTGAGCTTTTAATAAATAGGTAGATTTTCCAATTAGTAAAAATAGGACTGAAAACTTTGTCTATATTGGTCTCACCTTACTGCAGAAGTTTAATAAAGATTCCAGACTGTACATAGGACATAGACACTACATATTTGGCAAAACTGAGATGACAGTCCATCTCATAATTCCTTAAGGACAAGTTCCAAAAAACTCATTTGGGAGTCTAAAGCACTGTTGAAGCAGAAGATATAAAGGTTCAAGACAGTGATTCAAAAAGAAAAAATCTTGCCCCTCCTCCTCTAATGCCTGAAAGTCTGTCTGTACCTAAGCTTTATCCAGAAAACTTACTGGGGTGCCAAATGCTGTGTTATCACAAATGGCCAGAGATATTCCTTTCTTGCTTGACCTGAACATTTTGTACAACCCCATCTCCACCCAAAGATTCCATCTCCATCTTAAGATTTACAAAACAGGCATGCCTCTTAGCAGACCCATCTGGAGGCCTTTTCTGCACATACTGCACACACACTGAATTTAATGAAATGGCAACAGCAACTGCTGTTTAATGGCAGTGGCAGCAATGACTGATCACTGTTTATACAATATCCTAACTATCAGGGCAGTTGCCAAGTAAAGAGGAGATAGGTGTATCTGAAAAGGACAGTTTGAGCTAAGCACAGGCAGGAATCTCCTCACCCAGTGCCTGACTACTGTGACTTTTGTTTTGAGCTGCCTGGTGGTGCCTGGGCAGTTTCTGGCATCTCTGGATTCCCCCAGGAGCGGACACCTTCACTTTGGATGCTGCAGTGATGGGTGACAGCCTTCAGCTCCAGTCTGGGAGTTGCCTCCAGGATCTCCTTGTAGAGGGATTTTTCCATTGCATCCTGCTACTGAGTTATGGGGGAAAGACACCCTGAGCCATAGGTAGTTCAGAAGCAAATGTCAATGCTGAAAGCTGCCAGACTACAGCATCATTTTGCCTATTAAAATGAGAAAAAATCAGCCATTGGAATAATCTCCCAGGGATTACTATAGTGGTGAACTCCCCAAAATTGGACACTTTTAAGATTCTGTTGACAGGGCTGCCTTCCTTAGGCGGTACCTTTGACAAGAAAGGTTGGACCAGATGATCTCTGAGATCCCTTCCAACCTACTGTGCTATCATCCTGTGATTCTATGATAACCTCTTATTTTTTCCCTCTTGTGAAGTTGTTTTCTTGTTCCTACAAGAAGTCGTGGTTTCACAGCCTCTCAGACAGTGTGCTGAGAACAGCCGTGCCAGGTGCTGTGGTGCCTCAAAGGACAACTCTGCATCAGCAGGAGGGGTGAAAGGGGCCTTGGGGCTTCGCAAGTTAGCTGAATTGTGCTGCCAGAAACACTTGCCTGAGAAAGCCCTGATGGAATTAGTGTGTCAGAAACCATGACATTTCCAATATTTCTGATTAAAAAATATATACTTGAAGGAAATAATACAGAAATGGCCAAATACTTAAGGCTGAGTCATGTTTCCATAAGAGTCAGTGAAGATTTGCCACAGACTTTTAAAAGACAAGGATTAGACTCTAACTGGCCCGTTTATTAGGAACAAGTGATATTTTAATGTACCAGTATTTTTCCAAACTGTTTTAGGAAAATTATTAATAACTGAAGAAATCTGAAAAAACCCCAAACCCTTGAAAAATGCTTAATTACCATAGCAACGCCTGTCTTACTGTTGAATAGTGTAACTCCAGAGAGACACAGAGCTGCCATGATCAGACTGCTTCTTTTAAAATTTCCTGATTGCTAAAATCAAAGAGTTTTACTGCATAATCCTCTTTAAACCCAATAACAAAACCAGTTTCCCTCAGCATTAGTCACACTCTGCCAAACGGTTTACCACACCTTTCCATACACAAATGGAGATTACCTTTACTCAATGCTTCTAAAGACCTTTTTTGTTACAAAACAAAATATAGGATTGTGTTAAATAATGAATGATATTGCAAGATCTGAAGGGAACCTCTTCTTCCATGACTCAGTCTCACTGAGGGAGGCAAACAGTCTGAATTCTCTCTATATCCTACACACGTGGCACTGAGTGACATTGACTTGCTGCACAGTAGACAAATATTAGGACCCTCACCAAAAGCATAAAAGGAAATAAATTTTTCATAGTGTTATTAGCATCGAGCTTGTCTTGATTATAGATTCACAAGTTGATGATCTGCCTCTGAAACATACTTAGCAAAATATGTGAATATTTTAAATGCACAAAAATATCACTGATGTGCTAAAAGTTATCATTCAGTCCCTCAAAAAGGAAAGGACTACCTCTGACCTCATCAGGTTTTTGATCAGACTTTAAAATTTCTGAGCTAGAGAATTTGTGGTCTGTGGGAGCCCAGAAGACTGAGAGGAATAATGTTGGGCAGCATGTCACTGCTCTTGAGAAAGTGTTCTGTTCCTCCAACTCTCCCTCCACCTGTGGTCCCTTGGAAAATGGATGCAGCAGCAGGTACTTATGTGTTATTACCAAAACCTGCTTTGAATGTTCTTATCCTAACAAGATCCATTACAGAGGACAAG